CAGGGAAGAATGAAAGGCCACACGACGACGGCCTAAGCAGCTATCAACTGCTCGCAGGCTCACCGCCAAGACCAGGAGAAGTCTTTACCTCTCGCCGCCACCTTGCCGCCGCCGAAGCTACAGCCACCACCGAGACGAGCTGCGCCACTCCGCCTGCCGACACCGAGACACCCTCAACGGCCCCTGGACTACCGTCCTGGCCACACGGGGAAACTCGTCCCGCTCCAGCTCTCACCGGTACGACTGACTCGTCCTCCACGCACACTCAACGTGGGACGTAAGAGTCCGGCGCTACACTTCTCCGCAACTCTCATGGACGGTGCCTCCACTTCTGTCGCCTCTGCCGCCATCACTTACCAAGCAGCTCATCACGGCAGACACGACGCCTCGAATATACGGCCCAGTTCACCACGGACATACGACATGTGTCAGGAAAATAAAATGTCGTAGCCGACGCCTTATCGAGGGTAGACGCTGTACAACAGGCCATCGACTACGAAGCACTGGCCAGACCACAGCACCTGAAGAGCCCAAACGGTCCTTTTCAGGGCCGCCTCCACGGCCCTTCTCAGGGCCTTCTTCAGCACACTGACACACCTACATCTGTATCATAGGACATAGAATAAACGACCTATTTATTACATACATCTGTCTCTCAGCTCACTCGACGATCCCTCTCACGCTACGGCATATCCTCTGCGAAGGGCACGCGACGCCCCAGCGTAAGTGGCATACGAGCCCACATATTAATTAAATTAGGTTATAAAAATTATATTAATTTATAGGTTATAAATAATTAAATTAATTGAGTTAGGTTATGATTCATTATAACCTAATTTAATTAATTTAATTATTTATAACCTATAAATTAATATAATTTTTATAACCTAATTTAATTAATATAATTATTTAATTAATGATGCAAACATGCCGCCATCCCCTCCACGCAGATGACGTCATCCCCTTTTCACGCCGATGACGTCTTCCCCCACCACGCCGGTGACGTCATACCCCCCACCACAAACTGGCCTAGAATGCCCATACTATACCTACTGACATGTGGTAGATACTTGGTGGATATGGATATGTGGATGACACGTGGACATTTAATAGATATGTGGAGATATGGATATGTGGATAACGTGTGGATATCATATCATATATCATACTATAATATAAACCCGACTGTTTGTCTATCTGTCTGTTTGTCTGTCTGTCCGCGAACTACTAATTCATTGATGGACCAAATTTCAAAGAATTGTATATGACATTTGTTAATGGACCGAATTTTAAAGAATTGTACATGACATTCGTTAATGGACCAAATTTCAAAGAATTGTATATGAAGTAGGGGTAGACTCTCTCTCTCTTTTCCGGGGATTGCCTTAATGTGTATAATTTTTTGTTACCGATCTTTTTGGAAACCCGTTCAGAAATTTTTCCAATTTTTCGGGAAATAATTGATCGAATCTCAGATAGCACATACACGTTTCAGAAATGTTTTATAAGCGTTTTTCCGAAACGTTTTATAACCAATTTCTAGAAACGTTTCTTATGAGTAAAAATGTTTATTTGAAAAACGTTCGATGGAACGTTTTTTTTCCGATAAAATAACCTTTAAAAAACTATTATAGAAACTATTATAGAAACGTTTTGTTTTAATGATAAATACATTTTAAATAAAGACATTTAAAATTCTTGCTTTTTACGTCTTTTGAACGTGTTTATGACGTTTTTGAGACATGCGTGAGAATGTTCTAAAAGCTTTATGCATATATATATATACACCATCTATGACGTCTATTCTTTTTCGAAGAAATTCCTGAACTGGTGCACATTCGTGCAATAAGTTAAAGTGAAACAAAATGTATTTGTCTCGCTTTAACTTAATTGCATTATTGATGTGCACAGTTCGGGAAGGATTTTTCAAAACGGAACACACGTATAAATGTTCTTTTAATGGCCACGTTCGCAGCAGAACGTTTATTTTGCAACTGTTGGAAGTTTTCTAAGCTCAGATTTGTCCGATGACAAATAGATTATTAAGACCGGTAGGACAAAATTAATTTAAGTAAATAAATGGATATATGTTCATAGATAAAATGTATTATTTTGTGCAATAATTAGTGCAATATAAATTTAAATGTTTCAAAAAGGCTATTAAAGCTATTATATATGTTCGAGAGCACGCGGTAGCGCGAAGTCGCGCGAGGTAACGAGAC